GATGGACTAATCTAACTATGGGTTCCTTGATTTGTGGCTAGTGGACCTCCAATGTGATGGTATCTGCATAGGTCCAAGTCCAACACGGCTTGGCAGAGCCAGTGGCTTGGCATCATTCTGGCCACCCCTGTAGGGAAGCATTCTTCCAACCTACCACCATCAATGTAAGCAAGATTTTCTCAATGGTCTCTGATGAACTAATCTAACTAGGGGTTCCTCGAGTTGTGGCTAGCTGACCTCCCATGTGATGGTACCTGCATAGGTCCAAGTCCAACACCGCTTGGCAGAGCCAGTGGCTTGGCATCATTCTGGCCACCCCTGTAGGGAGGCATTCTTCCCATCTACCACCACCAATGTAAGCAAGATTTTCTCAATGTTTTCTGATGGACTAATCTAATTATGGGTTCCTCGAGTTGTGGCTAGCTGACCTCCCAAGTGATGGTACTTGCATAGGTCCAGGTACATGTCATAACATTTCTTAACCACCCCCCCAAGATAAGTCAACCAAGGAATGTCTTCAGGATATAGAGAGCAGCCATTCTCAACCACGGCTGAACAGAAGTATTTGAACCCCTGAGAAGATCCGTGTTAATATTTGGTACAGAAGCCTTTGTCTGCAATTCCAGAGGTCAGACTTTTCCTGTAGTCCTTGGCCAGGTTTGCACTGCAACAGGGATTTTGGCCGACTCCTCCACACCGATCTCCTCTAGATCTCTCAGGTTTCGGGGCTGTCGCTGAGCAACACGGAGTTTCAGCTCCCTCCAAAGATGTTCTATTGGATTTAGGTGTGGAGACTGGCTAGGCCACTCCAGAGCCTTGATATGCTTCTTATGGAGCCACTCCTTGGTTCTCCTGGCTGTGTGCTTCGGGTCGTTGTCATGTTGGAAGACCCAGCCACGACCCATCTTCAATGCTCTGACTGAGGGGAGGAGGTTGTTGCTGAAAATCTCACAATAAATGGCCCCATTCATCCTCTCCTTAATACAGTGCAGTCGTCCTGTCCCCTTCGCAGAAAAGCACCCCCAAAGCATGATGTTACCACCCCCATGCTTCACAGTAGGGATGGTGTTCTTGGGATGCAACTCATCCTTTTTCCTCCAAACACGACGAGTGAAGTTTAGACCAGAAAGTTCTCCTTTGGTCTCATCTGACCACATGACTTTCTCCCATGCCTCCTCTGGATCATCCAGATGGTCATTGGCAAACTTCAGACGGGCCTGGACATGTGATGACTGGAGCAGGGGAACCTTCAGACGGGCCTGGACATGTGATGACTGGAGTAGGGGAACCTTCAGATGGGCCTGGACATGTGATGACTTGAGCAGGGGAACCTTCAGACAGGCCTGGACATGTGATGACTGGAGCAGGGGAACCTTCAGACGGGCCTGGACATGTGATGACTTGAGCAGGGGAACCTTCAGACGGGCCTGGACATGTGATGACTTGAGCAGGGGAGCCTTTCGTGCAATGCATGATTGGAAACCATGACGGCGTAGTGTTCTACCGACAGTGACCTCTGAAACTGTGGTCCCAGCTCTCTTCATGTCATTGAGCAGCTCCTCCCTTGTAGTTCTGGGCTGATTCCTCACCTTTCTTCTCATCAGTGATACCCCACGAGGGGACATCTTGCATGGAGCCCCAGTCCCAGGGAGACTGACAGTCGTCTTTAGCCTCTTCCATTTTCTAACAATTGCTCCAACAGTTGATCTATTTTCACCAAGCTGCTTGGCAATTGCCCCGTAGCCCTTTCCAGCCTTGTGGAGGTCCACAGTTTTGTCTCTGGTGTCTTTTAACAGCTCTTTGGTCTTGCCCATGGTAGTAGTTGGCGTGTGACTGACTGTGGGGTGGACAGGTGTCTGTAAAGAGCTCAGACAGGTGATACTAAGTGAGATGAATGAGTGGAGTAGAGGGGGACTTTTAAAGGCGCAGTAACAGGTCTTTGAGAGCAGAATTCTTGCTGTTTCTTAGGGGTTCAAATCCTTCTGTTCAGCCGTGCGAGACAAATACATTCTTTACAAATCATACAATGTGATCTCCTGAATTCTGTCCTCAGAGTGGGAATCCCCTGCAATGTGAATGTCAGACCCTCCATGATGGAGAAGTGGGAGAACATGCAAAATCGCAGGGGGTTCAAATACTTCTGTTCCTCACTGTATATATACCGGTATATATATATATATTTATTGAAATACATTTTGAAATATATTGAACACAAATTGAAAATTGTAGTATTTCAAATATATGTCAAAATATATGGGAAGGATATTTTTAAAATATATTTCAAATACGGTATATCTTTCTTCCATGTGAGTTGTAATTATTTATTTACCTAAAACACATTTCTTAGATCACACTGATACAATCTCAAGCATACATCATTTTTTACATAAGGAATTAAAGAAAAAAAAATAAAAATCATTTTTCGTTGCTTTGCATCCGGCAGAGAAGGTGTGGACGGATATCGGCATTTTTTATTATTAGGACTATTTTATTTCACACAATATCTTCTTTTATATCTACGATCTTAGATTGTATGCCCCTCGGGGCGGGGACTGATGTGAATGTACAATATATAGGTAAAATGCTGCGTAAATTGACGGCGCTATAGAAGTACCTGAAATAAATAATAATAGGAGCAGGGCCCTCCTAACCCTCTTGTATTGAACTGTATTGTTGCTGTATTGTCTCCGTATATTGCAAAAGCGCTGAGCAAACTGTTGGCGCCATATAAATCCTATATAATAATAATAATAATATAAATCCCATATAATAATATATAATAATATAAATCCTGTATAATAATAATAATATAAATCCTGTATAATAATAATAAATATAAATCCTGTATAATAATAATAATATAAATCCGGTATAATAATAATAATATAAATCCTGTATAATAATAATAATGATATAAATCCCGTATAATAATAATATAAATCCTGTATAATAAAAATAATATAAATCCTGTATAATAATAATAATATAAATCCTGTATAATAATAATAATAATAATATAAATCGCGTATAATAATATAAATCCTGTATAATAAAAATAATATAAATCCCCTATAATAATAATATAAATCCTGTATAATAATAATATAAATCCTGTTTTATAGTAATAATAATATAAATCCCTTATAATAATATAAATCCTGTATAATAATAATAATATAAATCCTGTATTATAATAATAATAATAATAATAATATAAATCCCTTATAATAATAATATAAATCCTGTATAATAATAATATATAAATCCTGTATAATAATAATAATAATATAAATCCTGTATAATAATAATATTAATCCTGTATAATAATAATAATATAAATCCCGTATAATAATAAATATAAATCCCGTATAATAATAATAATATAAATCCTGTATAATAATAATATAAATCCTGTATAATAATAATAATAATATAAATCCTGTATAATAATAATAATATAAATCCTGTATAATAATAATAATATAAATCCCGTATAATAATAATATAAATCCTGTATAATAATAATATAAATCCTGTAAATAATAATAATATAAATCCTGTATAATAATAATAATATAAATCCTGTATAATAATAATATAAATCCTGTAAAATAATAATAATATAAATCCTGTATAATAATAATATAAATCCTGTATAATAATAATAATATAAATCCCGTATAATAATAAATATAAATCCCGTATAATAATAATATATATCCTGTATAATAATAATATAAAATCCTGTATAATAATAATAATAATATAAATCCTGTATAACAATAATAATAATATAAATCCTGTATAATAATAATAATAATAATAATATAAATCCCGTATAATAATAATATAAATCCTGTATAATAATAATAATATAAATCCTGTATAATAATAATAATAATATAAATCCTGTATAATAATAATATAAATCCCGTATAATAATAATATATATCCTGTATAATAATAATATAAATCCTGTATAATAATAATAATAATAATTGTTCCATATGGTTAGGGTAAGCTGGATACCGAGGACAACCTCTTCTTGCGGGACCCGAGGACGGGCAGAATGAACACTACAGGTGGCTGGAAATTGTTTTTAGAAGAAGAATTAGCAGAGATCCGTCCAGAGTACAAATAGGAAATGTCTGCTTCCGGAAGCGCAATGTTTGCAAACTTGTCTATCCAGGGCAGAGATTAAGTCATTAGGTTTTGGGGGGGGGGGGGGGGGGGCGGGGGACGCAGATTGACCTCTGAGCATGAATGAGGCCCCACACCAGGACCAGATGTCTGCCCGCTCAACCTTTGTGTTCAGTCCCCTGAGCAGAACCTGCATGCAGCCCTGACAGGTGTCTGAGCCGGGACATCCAAGAAGATTGGCCAAGGAGTTATCTGACCTCCGGCAAGGTCACCGCCAGGGTCAGAGGTCAACTATGTGTTGTCTGGCTTCACCATCCTGCTGAGGGAAAACAAAATGTTAAATGTCCAGTAATTAGGGGTGTTAAAGGAACACGATCCCGAAACCTAAACTCCATCCATGGATGAGACGTGACATCTCTGTGCGACGGCCAGCTTGGCCAGCCTACACAACGGCTGCTATTTTCTGACTTCTACGCATTGGGACATGTCGGCCTTTTTGCATTGTGTTGCACTGTTCTTTAGTTGTTTTTTCGAATATTTCTTGAACATTTTTGCATTTTTTCTCTCAATTTGCTCTACTTTTTAGCCCCAAGTATTGGCCCCACCCTCCACATCATGTGATTCAGGTGTTACAATCCCCTCTATATCATGTGATTCAGGTGCTCCAATCCCCTCCATATCATGTGATTCAGGTGTTCCAATCCCCTCCACATCATGTGATTCAGGTGTTCCAATCCCCTCTATATCATGTGATTCAGGTGCTCCAATCCCCTCCCAATCATGTGATTCAGGTGTTCCAATCCCCTCCATATCATGTGATTCAGGTGCTCCAATCCCCTCCCAATCATGTGATTCAGGTGTTCCAATCCTCTCTATATCATGTGATTCAGGTGCTCCAATCCCCTCCCAATCATGTGATTCAGGTGTTCCAATCCCCTCCATATCATGTGATTCAGGTGCTCCAATCCCCTCCATGGACACAGGTGTATACAATCAAGCCCCTAGGCATGCAGACGGCTTCTACAAACATTGGTGAAAGAATGGGTCGCTCTCAGGAGCTCAGTGACTCCAAGCGTGGTCCCGTGATAGGTGGCCACCTGGGCAATAAGTCCATCCGTGACATTTCCTGGCTACTAAATATTCCACGCTCAACTGTTAGTGGGATTATAACAAAGTGGAAGCAACTGGGAACAACAGCAACTCAGCCACCAAGTGGTAGGCCACGTCACATGACAGGGCGGGGGTCAGCGCATGCTGAATCTGAAGCGCACAGTGTCTGCAGAGTCAATAGCTAAAGACCTCCAAACTTGGTGTGGCCTTCAGATGAGCCCAACAACAGTGCGTAGAGAGCTTCATGGAATGGGTTTCCATGGCCAAGCAGCTGCATCCAAGCCTTCCATCACCAAGTGCAATGCAAAGTGTCGGATGCCGTGGTGTAAAGCACGCTGCCACTGGACTCTAGAGCAGTGGAGACGTGTTCTCTGGAGTGACCAATCACGCTTCACTGTCAGGCAATCTGATGGACGTTTCTAGATTTAGTGGTTGCCAGGAGAACGGTCCTTGCCTGACTGCATTGTGCCAAGTGTAAAGTTTGGTGGAGGGAGGTTTACGGTGTGGCGTTTTTTTTCAGGGGTTGGTTTTGGCCCCCTAGTTCCAGTGAAGGGAACTCTTAAGGCGACAATTTCCTGCTCCCAACTTTGTGGGAGGAGTTTGGGTATGGCCCCTTCCTGTTCCAACATGACTGCGCACCAGTGCACAAAGCAAGGTCCATAAAGACATGGAGGAGCCAGTTTGGGGTGGAGGAACTTGACTGTCCTGCACAGAGTCTTGACCTCAACCCCATAGAAAACACCTTTGGGATGAATTAGAGCGGAGACTGCGAGCCAGGCCTCCTCCCCCGACATCAGTGCCTGACCTGACAAATGTGCTTCTGGAAGAATGGTCCCAACCTTCCCATAGACACCCTCCTAAACCTTGTGGACGGCCTTCCCAGAAGAGTTGAAGCTGTTATAGCTGCAAAGGGCGGGGCCAACTCAATATTGAACCCTACGGACTAAGACTGGGGGGCCATTAAAGGTCATGTGTGTGGAAAGGGCGGGGCCAAACTCAATATTGAACCCTACGGACTAAGACTGGGAGGCCATTAAAGGTCATGTGTGTGGAAAGGGCGGGGCCAACTCAATATTGAACCCTACAGACTGAGACTGGGGGGCTATTAAAGGTCATGTGTGTGGAAAGGGCGGGGCCCACTCAATATTGAACCCTACGGACTAAGACTGGGAGGCCATTAAAGGTCATGTGTGTGGAAAGGGCGGGGGCCAACTCAATATTGAACCCTACGGACTGAGACTGGGGGGGCCATTAAAGGTCATGTGTGTGGAAAGGGCGGGGGGCCCACTCAATATTGAACCCTACGGACTAAGACTGGGAGGCCATTAAAGGTCATGTGTGTGGAAAGGGCGGGGCCCACTCAATATTGAACCCTAACGGACTAAGACTGGGAGGCCCATTAAAGGTCATGTGTGTGGAAAGGGCGGGGCCAACTCAATATTGAACCCTACGGACTAAGACTGGGAGGCTATTAAAGGTCATGTGTGTGGGAAGGGCGGGGCCAACTCAATATTGAACCCTACGGACTAAGACTGGGAGGCTATTAAAGGTCATGTGTGTGGGAAGGCCGGCCAATCAATACTTGGGGCAATATAGTGTATATTGGGGGGGGCGGGGACAATACTTGGGGCATATATAGTGTATATTGGGGGGGCAGGGACAATACTTGGGGCAATATAGTGTATATACCACTGTGGGGGTGATATAGGTCACACGGCGATCTTTTCACGTCTTGACATTCAATAAAAGCTTTGTGATTTTTATTATACATTTTGTGTTTTTTTGGTGTAAAGTCCGGAATATTTTCCTTGCGTCTTTAAAGACACTGTAGAGCTGGGAGGTGGCACCGCCATAAACGTTTGCTTTGAAGCAGGAATATGTATTTATGAAGCTCGAATTTCTTGTCTTTATGTCATTTCGGCTTCATTGGCATTGATAGCACGAATCTAATCATGAATTTTTGGACGCATTTTCAGGGACATTTAGCTGCACCGGGTACAAGTATGACCGGCCAATGAATTTATTGGTGTTTTCTGATGAAGATAACCCGGAATGTACTATAGAAGGAACGCATTCAGGAACGCCATTATTTGTAGCCCCGCCATGGGATACATATGATCCCTGCCGACATCAGAGTGCCCATGGCCTCCTATGTTGGACTTGTATATTTACTGCCCCCCCTCCTGGGTTAATTGGAGGTCATGTTTTGGCTTTTGCTGATAGTAATTTCATTTGGCCTTCTATCTGCAGTTATTTGGTTTTGTTTTGTGCCCCCCCCCCCATCCCCCCCACTCATTTTATTCCCTATTCTCAATCTGCATATTGATCGGGTCCTAATGGAGGAATCGGACACCAGGCCCTCTCCACACCTCTCCCCCAGGCCGGGGCGGACAATCAATGACTCACAGGGGAGGAGAACAGTGGAAAGGAGAGAAGAAGACAGGAAAGAAGAATGGAGGACAGGAGAGGAGAATGGAGGAGAGGAAAGAGAGGAGGAGAGGAGAGGGGGAGGACAGGAAAGAAGAATGGAGGAGAGAGGAGGAGAGGAGAGGACAGGAGAGGGGAGGCCAGGAAAGGAGAATGGAGGACAGGAGAGGACGGGAGGAGATGAGAGGAAAATGGAGAGAAGAAGACAGGAATGGAGAATGGAAGACAGAAGAAGGGAGGAGAGGACAGGAGGACAGGGGACAGAAGAGGGGAACAGGAGAGGAGGAGAAGAACAGGAAAGAAGAAACGGAGGACAGGAGAGGAGAAGACAGGGAAGGAAAGTGTAGGACAGGAGAGGACAGGAGGATGGAAGACAGGAAGAGGAGAAGAGAAGAAAGAAGAATGGAGGACAGGAGAGGAGCAGGCAGGAAAGGAGAATGGAGGAGGGGAGGAAAGGACAGGAAGATGGAGGACAGGAGATGGGAAAAAGGGGACAGGAGAGAGAAAAGAAGAAGACAGGATAGAAATAAAAGAAGAATGGAGGATAGAAGAGGAGAAGACTGGAAACAAAGAATGGCGGACAGGAGAGAACAGGGGGGATGGAGAACAGGAGTGAGAAGAAGAGAAGAAAGAAGAACGGAGGACAGGAAAGGGGAGGAGAGGACAGGAGAGGAGAAGAGAGGAAAGAGAGAGGAGAGGACAGGACAGGAGGACAGAGGAAACAAGAGGAGAAGACAGGACGGGAGGATAGAGGATAGGAGAGGAGAATAGAAGAAAGGAAAGAAGAGATGACAGAAGAAGAGAATACAGGAAAGAAGAACAGAGGACAGGAGAGATGAGAAGAGGACAGGAGACGAGAATACAGGAGAAAGGAGAATGGAGGACAGGAGAGGGGAAGAGGGGACAGGAGAGAAGACAGGAAAGGAGGATGGAGGACAGGAGAGAAAGAAGACAGGAAAGGAGAACAGAGGACAGGGGAGGAGAATAAAGGAAAGGAGAACAGAGGACAGGGGAGGAGAAGAGAGGAAAGAAGAACAGAGGACAGGAGAGGAGAAGAGAGGACAAGAGAGAGGAGAGACAAAGGACAGGAGAAGACAGCAAAGGACAGAAGAGGGAAGAGAGGACAGGAGAGGGAGGCGAGAGGACAGGAAAGTACAGAAGGAGTAGGGAAAAGGTGCAGGAAGGTGAGAAGAGAGGGAAGGGCAGAAGAAGGAAAGAGGAGAAGAGAGGGTAGGACAGTAGAGAGTAGAGGAGGACAGGGGAGGAGAAGAGAGGACAGGAGGATGGAGGACAGGAGAGGGTAGGAGAAGAGAAACAGGAGGGTGGAGGACAGGAGAGGGGAGGAGAAGAGAGGATAGGAAAATACAAAAAAAAAGGAGAAGAGTAGAGGTGAAGAGAGGTGAAGACAGTAAAGAGTAGAAGAGGACAGCAGAGGAGAAGAGTGGGGAGAAAAGGAGAGGAGAAGAGAGGAAAGGACAGAAGAGGGAAAGAGGAGAGAAGAGAGGGAAGGAGAAGATAGGGGAAGGGATGGAAGGGCAGGAGAGGAGAGGGTAAGAGAGGGAAGGAGAGGATAGGAAAAGAGAGGGAAGGAGGGGGAGAGGACAGGGGAGGAGAATAAAGGTGAGGGCAGGAGACAAAAGAAGTGGAAAAGGCATAGGAGGTGAGCTGAGGAAAGGATAGAAGAGGGGGAAAAGGACAGGAGCGGAGAATATAGTTGTGGAGAGAGGAGGAGAAGAGAGGATAGATGAGCAGAGGAGAATAAAAGCAGAAGAGGTGAAGAGAGGGATGGACAGGAGATGGGAGAATAAAAGAGGAGAGGAGAAGAAGGAGGTAGGAGACAACATGAGAGTGGAGAGCAGAAAAAAGAAGACATGAGAATGGAGAAAAGGATAAGAGGGGGATAGGGGGACAGGAGATAAGAGGGACAGGAGAGGGGAGGAGAAGACATGAGAAGAGAAGAAAGTAGAAGAAGGAGAAGGGAAGGAGATGAGAGGAGAAGAAGGGAGTAGGAAGGGGAGAAGTCGAGAAAACAGAAGAGGCGATCAGAGGACAGGAGATGGAAGGAATGGAGATGAGAATAGAGAAAAGGAAAGGAGTGGAGAAGAGCACACGGGAAACATTGGAAGATAGCGGTACTGGTCTGGTCTCAGAGACCTTTCTGTACACACAGTACACAGTATAAGCTCCATATCTATCATTTTTTGTACAGTTGAGTTGTTGGTGGGGGGGGGGGGGCACGGGACACCTTGGCTGCCATTGTGCTTCATGCTGGGTGTCCAGTGCGCTCCTGTACCTTTAACCTCTTCATACCGGCCGCACACAAATGTTCATCCTCCCGGTGTCTGGGCCTAGATGCCGAGCGGCCGCACATTTACATTCTATTAAAAAAGGACATATGTGCCGAGAGTGCGTGCCCTGCGATCTCCCAGCACACATGTCCGGTACTCTCTGAAAGGTCCCGATCTCCTCTTTCGATCGGGACCTTTCCCGATCATGTGACCGCCGTGACGGCGCAGCACAGCGGTCACATGACCCTAAACCCCGCCCCACCTCCCGGCTTCTGGAACCCTTAAAGGGCCAGTAGGCGCCGGTGTGAAGGGGTTAAGGAGGGGTGGCTCCCTCAGGTTCACCTGCTCTTGGTCTATCCATTAAATACATGTGCCTCTACTATGGGGGCTCTCAAAATTTGAAGAGTTAGGAACTGCAGAATATCGGGGTGCCGTGCCGAGTCTCTGGAGCTTGCGCATGTATCTGCAAACGTGTGCTACCTGAACTCGGTGTGTAACGCATGCTGCTAGACGGGACAGTTCGGTTTGTTTGCAGGCTGGTCGGCAAGGTGAGCCGGGAATTTTTTC